TACGTTAAACCGACTTTAGACGTTAGAGCTACACAAAAGATTGTTGTTACCAGAATAAGCTATACCAAAAGTGATGAGCATAAAAAAATAACGTACAGGTCTTGAGATTTCTGCAACCAGTCTCACATTTTTACATACTTATCTGGATCATCGAAAAACCTGTGACTAGTCGTTTTTATAACTATTCTAGTACAAGTTTTTCAATAGCTTTGGTACAGGGATTTTCTGTACCATGGATAGTCTATTAAATTTGTATACTGCGCATAGCTTTTTACTATACCGCGCATAGTACCTGCGCCTATATATAGTGGAGATATGTATGTATATATGCATGCAGACTTGCATACATGTATGGGATTGTCATTGTTATTTTGGCTCAATATGTAAATTGTTCTTTGCGAGTGAAAACCAATTATTATATGCAACAGGAAAGTGACTAAACGTGCCTACTGCACTTATCATTATATCTTGTTAGATTCGTATCAATGTATTGAACTTTATATTGTGTTGTGGTGGATATACTGAAATCCTAACCCCTTGAACTTTTACAGCTAAGTATGTATATATATATATACTGACATTCTGAATGCTCCCACTGGCCGACTAACTTTCTGTACTGGTACAGGAAAAACCCGTACCACGTATCGGATTTTGACGTACTAAGCATAAGGTTTAGCTATACTCAATAAGGTACTTTAAAGTACACTACCGTACCAAATATACCTGTACCAGTACATATTTTTCTTGTACAGAGTATCGAAAATACTTGTCCTAACATATAGGACCTGTTTTTCTGGTAACAACAATTTTCCGTGTGGTAGAGAAACTGTCTAGTAAACAGGAGGTTGTGTGTTCAATCCGCACCCGGGGAGGATATTTTTCTCATTCTTATTTGTTTCTTTAGAAAATTTTCTTGAAGAAGAATTAATGTGGTTTGATATTATGAGTCTTAAGTATATTGGATATTGAAAAAAAAGTGGCATGTATGGAGGATATAGAGTGCTTGTATTGAAAGTGCCGCCATCTATGCATATGCACCTCTTGATACAATGATTCAGATTAACAACATTCGCTTGTATACCATTGGTCATATGAATTTCTTATTTACCGACAAGCAATAGAGTCACACAACAGAAAAAGTTGCAGCTTAAGCCGGGGGAACAAAGTAAGGGTTTATTATTAAAAACTCAAAATGGGTGCCATACTTGAGATAATTTTTGGATCAAATAACCAGAGGATGAGTTATAAAGGAGAACAATTGTTCAATGGTTTGATTAGATAGTGAAAAAAATAGTACGAGGTGAGAAAATATCATATTAAAATCGGCTAGCATCTAGTGCAGGAGTGTAGACCCATCTACTTGCGAGGCATACACAAATATATAGTGTTGAAGGGACAACATCAATATCAAAACATTAGAAAACATTTTTTTAGTAAGTCAGCTAAAAAAAGGCTGATAAAGACTTAATATGGGACATAGTCATTTCGATATCTATTAAAAAAAAAAAAAAAACATTCTTTTGGTAGGTATAGTTAAGTGAATTTTTCAGTAAATTTAATTTTATAATAAAGTTAAAATTTTTATGCTCATTCAGCATAAAAATATATATAAAAATAAGAAGATATTATGAGAAGATACCTTTCATTGTAAAATAATGAAAGTTAAAGATAAATAACTTTTTGTTGAAAAATAATTGTTTTGAAGTAATGTGTACACCGCTTCTCTTTATGGCGATCTGTTAAAAAATTTTTATAGTAGTTTTCGTTGGATAAGTGCCGTCGTCTGCGGGACTACTTTGCAGCACGAGGAACCTGCGAAGCAAGGCTCAAGGGACGTAAAGTAGCGGTGAAGCGATAGCGCTTATATGGTGAATCCTATTTTTCATACTGAGGGGACACCAGTCTCTCAAAAACGCTCGAGGTTGGAAATTAGTAGTTTTCCTACGAGTTTGAAAAGTCTTTGTTTGCGAACCGAGAGGTTTGCGGCCCGAGCCGTATTAAAAGTATTTTTCCGCCCTCGGGTAGTTTTGGGAGGCTGGTACTTCCTCGGGAAAAAAAGCAGTTTTCCGATACTCGTTCAGAAAGTCTCCTTTACGAACCTCGTTACGGACCTCGCCTTCGGCTCGGGCCGCAAACCTCTCGGTTCGCAAACAGAGACTTTTCAAACTCGTAGGAAAACTACTTTTTTTTTTAGTATTTCCAACGGAATTATACTCTTGGAGAGTTTGATTACGATGTACTTCATCATCAGTTCTTTGAGCTGTTTACAAGTTACTTAAAAATTGATGTGGAAGATAGGTATTTTTTTACTTAACCTGGAAAAACTGTAAGCCTGACTTTCTTATAACTAACTTCATTATTCGTCTTGTTATTGCCAAACTATGTTGTTGAGTTCGGGAAAGGCTTTTTTAATATGAGAAAAGATTTAATTTTCTTACCATGGGCACAAAGTGCAACTGCTGCGTTGCGCCCTCGGACCACACTTTGTGCCCTAGTAATCATTTTAGACCTACGGGCCAAAAAGTTTTTTGCACCCTCCGGGCCTAAAGTGATTTTCTGGGCGCAAAGTGTACCCAAGGTTGCAAAATTGTACTTTGCGCCCCTGGTAAGAAAAACAGTATACGTGATTCAGATACCAATTTACGACAACCGCACCCTTCGGGCACTCATGTTTGTACTGTGCCCTAGTGACATAATGTACCATTTAGAAACTTTTGATTTTTTTTAATAAAAACTGACGTTATTAGCTTAACTGATATAAGCTCTGGTGGAAATACATGAGATCTATAGTCGTACGACAAAAATGTTTTTGTAGTAACTTCATCTTTTCTATCTCAAAATTATCTTTTACGATAAAAAGATGCTTTGACAATTTAAAATTTTTGTATCTAGTTTATGTGAAAATAAAAAAAAACCTTTTTTTTCAAGAAATGAAGTTGACTTAATTATTTTTAATGTTATACGTATCATTAGGTGGGGACTTACGTAGAAAAACTATTTATGTCCGAAGTATCTGGAAACATTATAGACTTATGCCCTGTTGGTGCTTTAACAAGTAAACCCTATGCTTTTGTTGCTCGTCCTTGGGAAAATCATCGCACTGATAGTATTGATGTACATGATGCTGTGGGCAGTAACATCGTTGTATCTCATCGGACTGGAGAAGTTTTAAGAATTCTTCCTAGAGTTAATGAGGTGAGTCAAAATAATATTGTTAGTTTGTCATAGAAAAATAATAAATGTCTAAAATAAAGTTCCGTGTACAGATGAATAGTCTTCCTTCAATCTGAAAGCAATAAACAATTTTTTTTAATTCGTATATAGCCCTTGAAAATTTATATATACATTAAGATGTGTGTGTGTGCATGCGTGCGTGCGCGTGCACTTACATGTATAAGTGTATCTATTGAAAGTATACCCTAGAGTACACGTGCTGTCTTCTTTACTCAAGAAATCATCATATGTAACTCGCTCAAAAGCTATAATAAAGGATTAAAAACACAGGCTTACCCCTGTGATGGATATATTTTAATATTCTATTATGATGCTGTGCTAAAAAAAATTACTACATTTAAGTGGAGTCATCTTATAATTTATCGTTGGTGTACTAATTATGTTGCGTGTGGCTGCATGTGCAAACCACAGTGCGAGCACTCGATAATCCAACTACCCATGTGATCTCAAATATGTCTGGAAAACTTGTGGGAAATGTAAATATAGAAATTTCCAGGCACATATGATGTCACTGAGCATGACAAGTCTTGCGCTTAATCACTGTGCATGACAGATTGCACGTTAATAATCGTCAGAGAGCGTCCCTTGCAGTAGAGATGCTACACGTGAAGCGACATCCTGTAAGTTCGAAACTGTAGTGAAATTATGAGAGTTTAATTTTTGTTTTACTTTCACAACTAGAATGTAAATTTTTATAATTCAAAATAATAAATTCTATTTAAGTTTGGAGTTTACTTTTAATTTAAAATATAGGTAGAAAATAGCAATTGTTAAATTTTTTGAAAGTTGGAACTAATAGTTTAAACTATAGCTATTACTATAATACTTAGTAAAATTGATCGTGGTATAACAATAATTTTGTACTGTACATTAAAGTTAACTATGATTATATATACTTTTATCAGGGAAAATACGGTTTATTTTTTTTCTGAATCGATACTGAGTAGATTCTATATCTAGTCGGATATAATTAGCTGAAAAGCATGGTTAATTTTGGGAAGTTGCTATTAGCGCGAAAAAAATCATGGTAGTAGTAATTCGGTTTCTAAACAAATCTAAATAGTTTTAGACACCAAATTGTGTCAGCTAACGGCCCAAAAAAATGGTAAATGTGGTCAAGAATGGTTTTTCGCATCCAGAAAAAAACCGGAGAGTCGGACAAAAAAGTTTTACTGTTGAAAAAGATGCGCAATTTCAAGACGAAGAAAATGAGCTTCAGAAGAATAAAATTGGCACAGCCATTTTTTCGCAATTTGCTAAAAAATGCTATTTTGGACCGTTTTTAAAAAATCTATAACTCACGTTCATTTGAATATTGAGACTTAAAAATTGAATACAAGGTAGATCTTGTGTCCACACTCAATTTTAAGAAGATCGGTTTTAAACGTTTTGTAAACTGCTGCAAGAAGCAAAAAATGGCGTTTCCACAAAAAAGTTGAACGTGGCTGGTTTTTTAACATATTGCCATTTTTCAAACGGCATTGTACTCGTCGAGAGTTATTCTATATCCTACAAAAACGTCGTTCCGATCGACATTCCGGAAGTACGCGAAAAATCGATGTCAAAAAGTAGCTGTTTTCCGTGGATTTATGTGGATGTGGATTTATACGGCTCGCCGTGCCGCCGCATCCCTGAAAAATAGCTGGTTTTTGACATCGATTTTTTGCGTACTTCCGGAATGTTGAACGGAACAACGTTTTAGTAGATTATAGAATAATTTTTGACGAGTATAATGCCGTTTGAAAAATGACAATATGTTGAAAAACCAGCCACATCCAACTTTTTTGCGGAGGGATAATTTTTTGTTTTTTGCAGCAGTTTGCGAAAAGTTTACAACCGATCTTTTTGAAATTAAGTGTGGATGTTAAGAGGCACAAGATCTACCTTGTATTTAATTTATAAGTCATAATATTTAAATGACCGTGAGTTATTGATTTTTAAAACATCGGTCCAAAAGAGCACTTTTTGGCAAATTGCGAAAAACGGCTAGGGCAATTTTATTTCTCTGGAGCTCATTTCCTTTGTCTTGAAATTGTGCATCTTCTTCAACAGTACAACTTTTAGTGTCCGACTCTCCAGTTTTTTTTCTAGACGCGAAAAACCATTTTTGACCACATTTATCCTTTTTTTTGAGCCGTTAGCTGACACTATTTGGAGTCTAAAACTATTAAGAATCGTTCAGGAACCGGATACCTACCACCATAATTTTTTTTGAGCTAATAGCAATTTAATTTTTCAAAAAGCTAATTCTATCCTACTAATCTTGCAAATAAAATATTTTTGTGATTAGAAATAAATATTATTTAGTATTTGTTGTTATTCATTTTTTAAATTATTATTAATAGACACGCTAAAAAAAGATTGCTGATTCAAATACCCGTTTACACAAATACAATTAAATCAATATTGATTGAAAAAAACTAAATGTTTATTTCAAGTTCATTGAATATATAACGTTGAACAAAAATAATTTTTTTAATTTCAAATCTTATTTTGTAATCTCGACAAATATTTATTATACTTAAATATACATTAGTTTGTTTGTTTGAGTGTATGCGTATACATGATTATTTAGATTATCATAGTTTCGGTTTTTCAGTGTATTATGCCTTTTTTTAACTTCAAATTTGAATAAGTCTTTCTGTATATGTTATTACAGTTTAAAGGTACAAAAAATAACCGTTGTAGAATCATTCTGAAGTTACTTTTATGTACATTCCTAATTTTCACCATCATAGTTAATGATCATCTTGTTAGAAGTATGTACTGCTTTTTTCGGTAGCTATTTTTAGATTAAAACCGTAATAAAGTATTTTAATTGAATGGTGTAACGTTAAGTTAAAAGTAATAGGTTCAATGTTTGCATGGATAGAAATACCTTTATTTACGTGCCTGCATAACATCGTTGTTCACTCCGGAATAAAAAGTAAAGTATATGCACAGAAATATATTTACTCACATGCCATTTTACGTGCATTCACTGAGCCGCTTACGATAAGCTGAGTGGAGAGAAGAGGTACTTGCAACGGGCCCAGCAGCAGCAGTTGCTCGTAGTGTACTTAGGTGTGTGCAAGAGAGAAAGTGGAAGAATAATTGGTAATGTAGTTTACCTTGGAGCACTGAAAGTACTGGAGGTATTCAATTTTCTTTAAAAATAGCTGCTTGAAATAAGTTGGTATTTACAAGCTAGTAGTGTTGGTAGAGCCAGTCATATCATAGATAGAAAAGGGAGAGTTAAAACAGTTAAAACAAGAAACTAAAACAGTGCTTTTGGTGCAAACATTTTTCCGTGTCAGTAAACAGATGCATTTTTTAAAATTAATTCAACCAAAATTTTCCTATAATTAATTTTAGCTTACTTGAAATTCACTTTTAATTGTTAAAATTCGATTACTTGAGATTCAAATTTGTTGCTCTACAGACGGTTTTCTTTTATATAGTTGTGGAATAATGCCATTTAATTGCAAGTTTGATGGCATTAGCTCACTAACATTCTCAAAATAATTGCAATGTTCGAACTATTTAAAAGCTTCATTACTAAAATTTTGTGTCATTTAAATTAAATATTTCCAATGAATGAAAAATAAAGATTTTCCCTGCTGTACGTACATCTCTGCTTTGAGCCCATTTTGTTTTTCCATCTCTAAGTTTTTATTATTCTTTTCACTTTATTTTTACGACTATTACTTTACAACGTTTCCGATCTACTTGTTTTCTTTCTTCTACTGTCTTTTAATTACCACGATCTTCCGCTATTCTGACAAAATTTGATTTAATATTTTTATTTTATTAAGTCGTCCAATTAAATGATCATATTGCATTTACGAAATCTTCGATGGCTTAGTGGTTAGCGTGCTAGCAGTCTCTTCGCTGGAGGAATCCAAAGTGTCGTGGATTTGAATCCTGTCGAAAATTATTGATTTTTTCGTAGGCTTTTTCGATGTAATGAGTACCCAGGATATCGAAAAATCACTTATCTAATTTTTAAAACGAATAGTAGATTTTTCCGGCGATGCCTTGCGATCTTCAGAGGCCTCCTTTTCAAAGGAAAGTCAATACCTTTTATTACACTTGATAATAGCTGGGATGTGCTTGAGACGATCGCTGCGCCCTGTAAATAGTACCCGGTAGCACAGATGACCGAATCGTCTGAGAGAAACTTTGCTAAGGGCCTGCATGAAAGACTTGCACGTTTCAGAAATCGGAGGATGATTAAGGAAAAAAAGTAACGATGGTAAATATTAGGAATGTAGGATATGGAGAAATTCCGTAATAGGAATATGTATAATTTAAACACTATAAATATAATTATTGCATTGATGACTTAAAACAATTTAAAAATACACAAAAACTGTATAATTGCTTTCAGCTATTGTAAATGTGCTTCGTATGTAATATTCCAGTTGCCTGAGTAGCTCTGATAACGCTAAAAACTTTGTAAGCACATAAAGTATTATTTTATCAGTTATAATAATAGGGTAGATATGGGTATTACTAGCGCTGCTCTTATTACTGGCAAATATAACATAACCTCTCGATATTATTTATACTATATTGTTTATAAACGTATAATCTCTTGATCTGACGGTTGACGCTGTGTACCTCAAAAAAAGTTCTTTCCCTATATAACTGTATCCAGTTCGATGTTTATCCGTTAATGATTAAAAGTCCACTACAAGAAGCTCAAAGTACTTCGCAAGATCGGACAAACCCGAAAACTAATCTTTGGTTATATAATCTCTTCCTCATTATCGCCATTGGCCTTCTGAAAACGCAATAAATTTAAGCAATAAATGAGAAATTGAGTTTAAAACTTCATTTGTAGCAAAAATAAATCAAGGAAATCTAGAAGAAAAACGTATAAAAATTGAAAAAACCGAAGCAAAAAAACAGCTTAGAGCAGAGAAGCAAAGTACAACTCCTATACAAAAAGAAAGCAACAAATTGCAAAAGTACCAGCA